GTCAGTGTCTGCTCTCCCCTCTACCTACACTGGTCTGATCTCTCTACCTACACCTGCACTGGTCTGCTCTCTTCCTACACCTACAGTACACTGGTCTCCTCTCTACCTACACCTACACTGGTTTGGTCTCTACCTACACTGGTCTGACCTCTCTACCTACACCTGCACTGGTCTGCTCTCTTCCTACACCTACAGTACACTGGTCTCCTCTCCTCTCTACCTACACCTACACTGGTCTGGTCTCTACCTACACCTGCACTGGTCTGGTCTCTACCTACACCTACACTGGTCTCCTCTCCTTTCTACCTACACTTACATACAGTACACCTCACCTTGCCTTACCTTTCCCAACCCTACTCTCACCCTATCCCTGCCTTACCCTGCCCGACCCTACCACACCCTATCCCTGCCTTACCCTACCACACCCTGTCCCTGCCCTACCACACCCTGCTTTACCAAACCCAACCCTCACCCTGTCACTGTTTTAACCAGCCCTGCCGCACCCTATTGTCACCTTGCATTTACCTATCTGGGCATGACTAACCCAAATTCACCCAGCTGTGAATTGATACCTAATTTTACAGTTGGGAAAGTGAAGGCGGTCGAGTACAGTGCCATGTCTGCGTCACTCACTCTCACGTTGTTGTACCAGTGCGATGGTGTGAGAATGTAATGACTTTGAAGATTACCTGTAAAGAGACAACATCTTTAACGATGAGGATTTAACCCTTTAACGACGAGGATTTAACCCTCCAACGACGATGATTTAACCCTTTAACGACGATGATTGAACCCTTTAACGACGATGATTGAACCCTTTAACGACGATGATTTAACCCTTTAACGACGATGATTTAACCCTTTAACGACGATGATTGAACCCTTTAACGACGAGGATTTAACCCTCCAACGACGATGATTTAACCCTTTAACGACGATTTTGAACTCTTTAACGACAATGATTGAACCCTTTAACGACGATGATTGAACCCTTTAACGACGATGATTGAACCCTTTAACGACGATGATTGAACCCTTTAACGACGATGATTTAACCCTTTGAGGACGATGATTTAACCCTTTGAGGACGATGATTTAACCCTTTGAGGACGGTGATTTAATTGGTATCCCAGAGAGAAGGTGTGGGGTGTAGACCTCAGGGGGTAAGTCACTGGTACAGGTGATGTAACTACCTGTAGTAGATCAGGAGAGGTGAGTCGAGTCTCTGTCAGTGAGATAATATTAATGGAAGGTAAACGAGGCAGTTGATGATGCAAAGTGTACACAAACCCCCCGCACACACACACACACACACACACACACACACACACTCTCTCTCTCTCTCTCTCTCTCTCTCCGCCTGCCATCATCATCACCATCTATTTGAAATGTAAAAAAAAAAAAAAATTATCTACCAAAACTATTTATATTTTTGGTGAGTAAACATCGAAATTAGTGTAAATATCCCACAGTATAAATTGATCTAACAATAACAAATGCCTGAACAACAACAACAACAACAACAACAACAACGAACAACAACAACGAAATTTGATTTGTAAGATGATGTCATCGTGGGCAAGCTGACTCGGTTGCTGCTGTGTTCGGGGGAGAGTTTTAAACGCTCACCCGCGAGATGGTTTAATTGTGTTTCTGTGTTTTCTCATCATTTCTCCCCCACGATTTTAGACCAATAACTAAACCGTCAACACGTCTTACACAACGTTGGTGGTGACTGTGGTGATGGTGTGTCGATGATGACGGCGTGTTAGTGGTGATGATTTGTTGGTGGTGATGATGATGACGACGGTGTGGTGGTGGTGATGATGGTGGTGAAAGTGGATATCTAGGTTGTTGGAGTAGAGAATGTATGTACTGTTACGAGTTGGGGATTTAGAATATAGTTAAAAGTCTACCCAGATCCCAACAGGCAACAACAATAAAAAAACAAAGACAATCGGACTATAAAAGGGTGGACAAAGGATGCGAGTTTTTGTGTATAATAAAGTACCATAAATTCCTTAACAAAATATTCAGCTTTCTATAATTTACCCTTAACTATACTTAACCTAAACATACGCAACATTGGCTTAACAATATATACATATTTATACAACATACAATAATTTGAAGCAAGGTGGAGGTGGGGAGGCAATATAAGATTACAAATACTTAAGTGCGGAGCCGAGATGGCCGACGAGTAAGGCTGAGTATTGTAGAAGACGGTAGGTAGTCACTGTGCCGTAGGTTTCCAGGATAGGTGATCCTGTGGTCACTTCCCAGAGTGAACTGAACTCTCATCGAACTGGAGCTGATGAGGAAGACTTGGAGGAGGTGACGCAACAACCAGGATATGGAGAAGGGAAACCCCGGAGTGGTAACTAAGACTAGTCATACTCGGGTTTCGTCCCTAGATGGCGTTGCTCGTGGTGCTGGGTAGGTAGATCATGACAATAGATGGCGTGGTTCGTAACAGTACTGTATGTATATATATATATGTGTGTGTGTGTGGGGGGGAGGGGTATTCTTAGGTAGGATTACCAGGTAAACACGTACAGGTAGGTAGGGATGTGGGTCAAGGTCGTTTCACATCGCTCACCTGAGTGGTGGGGGGTGTGGGTTAGAGTTGCGGGAGGTTGTTAGAGGGGGTTAAGGAGGAGGTTGCCGGGGTAGGGAGAGGTTGTGGGGTACCTCCTCACCTGGGTAAATTACACAACTCTGGCTTCTGTTGTGCCCCGTCACATGTGCTCCTGACCCCCTCTTCTGATCCACCCTCCTGACCCCCTCTTCTGATCCCTTTCCTGATCCCCTCTTCTGATCCCCCTCCTGACCCCATCTTCTGACCCACCCTCTTGACCCACCCTCCTGACCCCTTCTTCTGACCCCCTCTCTTGACCCCCTCTCCTGACGCCCTCTCCTGACCCCCTCTCCTGACCCCCCCCTCTCCTGACCCCTTCTTCTGACCCACCCTCTTAACCCCTCTCCTGACGCCCTCTCCTGACCCCCTCTCCTGACGCCCTCTCCTGACCCCTGGTGGCCATGGTGTTAACTTCACTATTGACTGACCTTATTTACTGAGGGAAGATTTATCCTGATTCACATAACATAAACACATAAAAATAAGTAGTGAATCACCTGAAGAATAACCACCCCAGATTATACCACCTGAAGAATAACGACCCCAGCTTATATCACCTGAAGATTAACCACCCCGGCTTATACCACCTGAAGAATAACCACCCCAGATTATACCACCTGAAGAATAACCACCCCAGCTTATACCACCTGAAGATTAACCACCCCAGCTTATATCACCTGAAGAATAACCACCCCAGCTTATATCACCTGAAGATTAACCACCCCCAGCTTATACCACCTGAAGATTAACCACCCCAGCTTATATCACCTGAAGAATAACCACCCCATCTTATACCACCTGAAGATTAACCTCCCCAGCTTTTATCACCTGAAGATTAACCACCCCAGCTTATACCACCTGAAGATTAACCACCCTAACACTATTTGAGGGAATGGGGATAGTTTTAGTATGAGGTTAGGTTAGGTTAGGCTGGGTTGGGCTAGGTTGAGTTGGGTTAGTTTGGGTTGGGCTAGGTTAGGTCAGGTCAAGCTAGGGAGGGGATTCTTCAGGTGATCTAAAGTATTCGTAGCGATTCACGATGCAGCTACGACACCAAGATAGTCCGTTACTTCTGAGTCAGTTAAGATCTTGATTTGATTACAAGGCCGCTTGGTATTTTGGGAGGCGGTGGTTGTAGATGATGCCAGTGAGAGGTGCCGGAGGAGAGTGCATGCGGAGGGTGCCGGTGAATTGTGCCAGTGGAGGGTGCTACTTCATGGGAATTTCCCACGAATCTGTAGGGAAAATAGGGTTACGTGGGAGGTGTTACGGGAATGAATTTTTTTGTGGGAATTTTGAGGCACTCTTTCAAGTCTGTTCCAAAATGATAATCCTAATATTATGTGTTTATAGGTGTGCTGGCCACGCACTGCATTTAACTGGCAGCAAAACATTTGAAGCTCTGCCTTCTGTTCTAACCTTTATTATCAAAGAATCTCTTAGCTGGTTCTCAATTAGTCCTAAAAGAACTATTGCTTACAGGGGTATACAGTATATCGAACTCTCCAAACTCCCTGGCATGGCTGCTACGCTATGGTTAGTTCGTTTAGAAGCCATAAATGTGAACCTTGATCAGTGGGATGTACAGTATTGAAGCTGCATTTTGATATAGTGGTGTCAAGTGAACGCTGGCATACCGCTAACAGTTGAGTGATGCTTACAAAGATCCCCAAAACAAGTTGTACTGCTGTGTGCAAGTAAAATTCTTGAGGAGGAAGTTAAAGTAAAACTTTTCCAAGCAGAAAATACCGATGCTACAGCGCTCACCAAGGACCTACTTAACAGGTACAGAAATCTCTTGCAAGTGGTTGTAGTCACGTCTTCTACATAGGAGCTCATTGGAGGGTCTTCCTTCATTAAAATTTCTGGATCACTTGATGCCACTTTGTTCAAATCAGTTTGGACTTGAGTTCAGTAACGCAGTTGTGAATAGCTCTCTGAGTGAACCCAAGGTATTGTGTCAACCAGCTTTGTAAAAAAGTTTGTCATAGAACTTATCAGTGAACTGCCAGCACGCTTTCTAGATAATTTTGAAACATTGCTCCAGCTCCACCAATTGCAACCAAAGGAAGGCATTTCAAAAGTGCCTTCCAAATACAATTCAACATTTATTTATATGAATGACTTGGAAAGTGAGTGGAGTACCTTAAGTGGTCACAGTTAAGCTTACCGGACTCCAACACAGTATCTTTTTGGGCTGAAGTCAGTGACAGGAAGAACTCTGTTGGGAAACTCGCATAAGAACATAAGAATGAAGGAAACTGCAGCGGGCCTATTGGCCCATACTGGGCAGTCCCGTTTACACCAAACCCCTACTGCTCATATAAGCATCTAACCTATGTTTGAAGCTATCCATCGTATT